TGCCAATGCACTATATTTTTGGCTTAGGTTGGACAGCGCTGTAGGGAAGCCTACATCGCTGTTCCAGAAGTTTCTGGAAATCCAACCTTGGCTCAACAGCGATGTCTAGTGACCAACATCGCTGTTGGAAGACTTAACGCCAAACCATGTTTTTAGCTACCCAGTCCAGACAGCGCTGTTGATTACCTCAACATCGCTGTTGGGCTGGTTTAGCCAGACCCATGGTTGGTTTAGTCACGCCGTTAGCCGATGTCAAAAATGCAAGTTCTCCAAAATAAAAACCAAGTTTAGAAAACATTTGTTTATTGCATTTTGCTAAGATAACAAGTAAAACATCTTGAAAACCACGTCATTTAGTTGAAAACCACGGCTAACCAAGTTCGTGCCGTTTCGCATGGTTTTTACTAAACGACAAAAAACGGAGAGTGGTTTTTGAGGCGTTTTTGTTTGAGAGCTAATTAAATATGCCCAGAGGTAAAAACCAGTCATAAAAAGTTGAAAACCACTTGGTTGGTTCGAACGCCAAAAACCAATGCCGAAAACCGAAAGCCGAATGCCGGTTTCTGAAAGCCGAACGCCGGATGGCTTGGTTTTTTGGCTTGGGCGAACTCCAAGTGTTTGGACCCAAGTTTAAACTTAAGAAAAATATTTTTGAACATGTAAAAGAGATTTTTATGAATTGAGCCTAGAGAGCCAAGATTTGGAATTTTGTGCCGGTCTTGATCACATTAAGACCGACTCAATACAATTTTAGTTCTTCGTTCTTGATTCTGGGTTCTTGGTTCTCAAGTCATCATGCCATGTTCCTTAGCCTTAGTTTTTCTCACTTTAGCTTCGATATGTTGCCGCGGTTTGGCATTATCAAAACCTGTCATAAAAACCGAACACAGTTTAGTACGACGTAAGGCGTAAACCCGTGTTCCAACAGAGATGACTCAACCTCTTATGCCAAAGCCATAGAAGGTTAGTGTCACCTTTGCTGATTAGACATGCTTCCTTGACATCGTTCTATATCACTTCATAGATGTTTCTGATTCTCTTCCCAGTGAGAATGACTTCATTTGTGGAGATGTTCTTGAGAGATGCCATGTCCTTGCAGAATTCCAAGGAGTAACCTTTATCACAAAAATGACTTATGCTAAGAAGGTTATAATTGACTCCTTCATCATAAGATACAGCTTGGATGGTTAGTCCCTTGTACACCAGATTTCCTAGCCCTTTAGTAATGCCAAAATCATTAATTCCTCCAAAAGTAACTCTTGGACCATCATAGGGAATTAGATTGCTAAAAAGGCTCGCATCACCCGTCATGTGTCTTGAACATCAACTGTCTAAGTACCAGACACCTGGGTACTTAGCGGCTTCCTGCATTAGGAGGAGGAAGATTTTGGTACCCAATTCAGTTTCGGTCCAGAATAGTTAATGGTGTGTGTCCCTACATCAAGTTTGAAGTTGCAGGGAATTTTCCTTGCAGCTCTAAACTTGTTGGGATTGTAATCATAGTTGTAGGCATAAAACTTCCTACGTGCAGGAGGTGCAATTTTCTGTTTCCTCCTAGCAAACCTAGGTTGGTAAGACCTATAGTTTTGTCTAGGTTGTGCATAGTGTGACCTGTGTCGGTTATAAGCATACTTAGGTGTCACAAATAGTTTCTGGGGTGGAGTATGACTATATCTTGGCATAGTTCTCCACTCAGAATTTCTCGGAAAACTCCTGTCTACCCCATAATGAGTATAGCCTCGTGTATATTGGGGGTTAGAAGGTTTTCTTCTGAAATTGTTTCCTTTTTGAGGTCTGTCCAGCTTCCTATAGTTCTTAGGAGAGACTAACTTTTTGGGAACTTCTGTTGGTTTCTCCTTTTCCTTCCCTTTCTGCTTATTTGGTTTGGTAGTAGGTTTAGGAGAGATGAAAGTTGTTTTCCCTTTCCTTTTGGAGTTAGAGGGGTCAAACCCAAGTCCTTCACGACCCTTATGTTTGGTCGTTTCAAGAAGCTTGTTCACTGCTTCTTTGGACTTAAGTATCCCTAGCTCTTTGTTAAGGGATTTCACCTTTTCAGAGAGAGATTCATTTTCAGTCTTGAGTTGAGTGATCTCATTCAGTTGACTTTTCTGACTTTCAGTCAACTTGAGATTCTCTTCACTCAATAGTTTGTTCTCTTCTGTTAAGGATGAGTGTTTGAGATTTATCTCCTCAAAATCTTCCATCATCTTTTTGAACTGGTCAAAAAGAATTTCAGAAGTTGGTATGCTATAAGAAGATGAGCAGGAGGTTTGTGGGGTTACCCCTTGATCAGCATCATCTTTGGCCATTAGGGAGAGAGTGTCATCTTCTGACATAGTCCACCTATCCTCATGGTTGGACTTCTCAACTCTGCGCTCCATGCAGATGAGGGCTTCTTCATCCGAGCTTGAGCTGGATGACTCGTCATTTTCAGCAGCAACCATTGCCTTCTTTTTCTTCTCGTTCCTTTCTCTTTCTCCGTACTTCTCCACCTTTGGGTACGGGCATGCTGCAGTTATAGCATAAATAAGATTCAGGAGGGGAGTCACTTACTTGTGGCTTTCCCTTGGATGGCCTTCTGACTGAATCAGCCTTCTTGAAGAACTTCTTGAACTTCCGGAATTGTTTGACCATCATGGCAAATTCCTCATTGTAGTTCTCCATTTTTGAGCTTGACAGCTGGCTGGAGGAAGGTGTGTCACAGTTTCTTGTGCATGTCCCTTCACTTGATGGGATTCTTGGAGTTGTCATCAATGCCGTGGGGAAGGGAGTGACTTGTTCTTCCTTCTTCTTCTTCAGCTCGTGCTCATAGGTTCTGAGTTCATCAAGGAGACCTTGAAGAGTGTAGTTCTCCAGGTTTCTTCCTTCTTCCATGGCTGTGGCTTTGGTGTACCACTCAGTTGGGAGTGATCTCAGCAACCTTACATTCTTTTCTTTGGGAGAAAGAATGTGGTTAAGTGAAGCAAGATCATTCAATATCTTGTGGAATCTTTCATCCAACATATCAAATGATTCTCCGGGAAGCATTTTGAAGCTTTTGAACTTCTCAAGCAGGACTTCTATCTTCTGCTTTCTCAGGTCCTCTGATCCCTCACATAGCTTCCCAAGACCTTGCCAAATCTCCATGGCAGTCTTGAGATGCTTAATCTTGGAGAAGGTGATGGGATCAAGTGTCTTGAAGATGGCTGCTTTGGCGACGTTGTCCAGATTGTGCTTTTTGCAATCTCTATCATCCCATTTTTC